TGTATAACTTGTGGAAATTGTTGAAAATGTGAAAGCTGTGAAACGTGTCAAAAAAAATGACGGAATAAAGAAATACAAAACCAATGGTTGACTGCGGAAGGTTCCGCAGTCAATCAATTAAAGAGGCATAACTAAATGAATAGACAATCATACAGACTCTCATAGAGGAGTGGACAAGTATTAAGCCACTTGATATGAATGAATGATAAGAATGTGATTGTAGGCTGTTACTGTCAGGCTGAGCGACCCTTAGGTCTATTGGCAGACCTTTTATACCATGAATTTTCACTCAGGTTTATTTCCATCCATCCATTCATTTTCTTCCCCTTAATCCATTTCTGGGTCGGGGGTGGCAGTCAGAGCTGCACCCAGTTCACATAGCACCAGCCCCTCACTGATCCTCCTGCAGCTGGTGAGTCCACAGGAGCCTAGATCTTTCAGCGGGGGCTTCAGCCAAAGTGGGGTCAAATGTCTTGCCCAAGGACACAACGACAGCAGACATCAGTGGGTGTCGTGAAGTAGGTCTTGTGGTGGGCTCAAACCCACAATCTTCAGGCCCAAAAGCCAATGTTCTACCAACTGAGCCACTGCCGGTTTAACACTTGAAATTGAACTTGGGCTAATTTCCAATTAGCTATCAATTATATACAGACGTGACGTGTGGAAGAAGTAGCAACGGTGGGATGTTCGCAATGGAGTGGGAAACTAGCAGTCAGCAGTGCACCCTGAGTCAGCGCTCTGAGTGGGAGACCAGTCGGACCAAAGTCGCAGGTGAGCGCTGATGTACGGGGTATAATGTGGCCCGCGATGGGGAGGAGTGTGTGCAGACCAGGAAATGTAGTTCTTAAGATTTTTCTTTACATGTATGATTTTCTTCTATTGGTTTGGCTCATCATATCCATGGTGCACATCCACAACAGCTCTAGCTGTGTTCACATCGCCAGTGTTATGGCATATGTTCACAAGCACTGCGTCCTCCATTGTTAGTCTTGGATTAATCCTGGTTTAGTCCTTGTTTAGTCCTAGTTTTGGATGTTTTTGTCTTCCTGTTCTGACTGGCTTGTGCCGGCGTGACCACTTTTCTGCTCTCTGATTGTGTCAACCAAAAAAGTTGAGCAATGTTCATCTCCTGTGTTCGCAGCATGTGTCGCCAGGGGCCACAGTGCCGTCCCCTCAACTCTGTCCCAAGCCACAAGATATGGCCACAGCACACACGGCTCCCTCAACTCGTAGCGCTTCAGGGTATCCTATGCTGCACTGCACCTGAGGCTCAGAGGGATCTGCGCTGCTCTCTCAGCCGCCACTGTCAGCCTCGGTGTCAGTTCTTTATGGCCCCAGCCCTTTTCTCCCGCGGTCTAGCTGGCACGTCCCACAACGGCCTCTTGGATGCACAAGCAGCAAACGAGGTTACAGGATTTATTATAATACTGTACATTCACTGAGACTTGTGTATTGCGACCCCTGCTGAAAAGGTGGGACCATTTCTGACGCTCTACAGACACACGTTTAAAAAAATAATAATTATAATTATGCCCTGTGCTGCTCAAGCGAATTGCCCCTGGTGGGATAAATACAGTAGTCTGAATAGGGTTTCATTGATTGCAAGGTTGTTTGTACTTTAATAGTTTGGTGCATAGTTCCCACTTCCCAGCCTTGCTCTGTGAGGATTGATGCTTGAGTGCAGCTTATGATCCCCTGGAGCCTTAGCATTGCTTGTGGCAACAGGGCAAAGTGGATGTGAGCATGCAATAAAATCCCAATGGGGCATTCAGACCGCATCATGCGTCTGAACGCCCCATTGGCGACTTTCAATGCAAAGTCAATGTGGGTTCGAGCGTGGAACTCCATGTGCGTCTCGGGATGCACGCATGAGCCGCGTTTCCATCGCAGGAACTTTGGGGTAATTTTCTATGGCCACGGGGCCTTTTACAGAAACTTTTATGGGGCCCAACGGAGTTCCTTCTCCACGGTATGTACTCAGTTGGGCCCTGGTGGGACTTGAGGTTAACCCGGCGCTGATTGGCTGAAGCTAGCGCAGGCTCAGACTGCTCAGACGCCAGCAGAAAGCAGAAAAAGCAGCATTAGCCTAGCAGACATAACTGGAAACTGCGGAAAACAGCACGGCATTGATTCAAACAGGGTTTGAAGCATTGCGCCGAAAGGAAAAGATGTATTAAGACATATCAGCTTCACCTCGCAGCACTGGGGATTCATCACACTCCAAAACAAGCCGTGAAAAGTTTAAAAAAACTGAAGCAGGACTAAATGTCTACTGTCGTTGTGTCCTTGGGCAAGACACTTAACCCCACATTGCCTGAAGCCCCCGCTGAAAGACCAAGACTGTTTCACCGCTGATGGAGGAGCCATCTTCCTGTGGACCCACCACCTGCAGAGGATCAGTGAGGGACTGGTGCTATGAGCATTGGGTGGCAGCTCTCATTGCCCTCCCCCCCGACCCAGAAATGGACTAATAAAGAGGTTGACAATGAATGAATGAATGAAGCAGGACTATATAAAAAAAACTCAAGGACCACAACAACCAGAGCGGTCACGAAAGTAAAATAAACAAATGGGTGTGGCGCATGGATCTAGAATAATAACGGGTTTGGCGTAATGAGTTTCGCTTATGCGGCTATCAAAACTCATATGACGTCGCCGAGTGGTCCTACTGCAGTGGAGACACGGACACTGAGAGAACAGAGGGAGAGGAAAGTTCCTGTAAAAGTTCCACCCCGCTTCTTTTTCTTTTACCAGGAACTCCTGCGGTGGAAATGCAGCTTTGGACTGCGCGGTAGAGGCGCGGCAGAGGCGCAGGAGCGGAAAATCGACGCACGCAGGAGATAAACATTGCTGAACTTTTTCCTCGGCACGCTCGTGCAGCAACCAATCAGAGAGCCGCAAAGTGGTCACGGGGACATTAGCGGTCTAGCGAGCTGTCTGAAAATAAAACAGCCAAAACAGGAGGTAAACCAGGACTTAACCAGGGTTGACAACGCGGGACACAGTGCTTGTGTGCCTCCAGCCTGAGTTCTCATTCTCTAGTGACTAAACTAGTGAGCAGCTGAACTCCTCATTAGGAGGTGGTGGGGAAGAGATGGTTGTGGCTTCGAAGGGGGTTTTGTGAGCGGTGTCCTGCTTTCAAGCGCTGACTTGATTACAGCGGCTGGCAGGGGAGTTACGAGGCTGATGGAGGAAGGAAGGGGCCAGCCTGGTGCTATGGCGTGCGTGGGCAGTCTACCAGTCTGAACTTCCACTTAAGCTGCATTTTTGCCTTACGAGCAGTTGAGTAAAGGCTTTAAATAAGTGATTTAGAACCCATCCTAGTGGCCACAACATTTGGTCCAGGTTTGGTTCAATCCAAACCTATTAAAACAAAACCTTTAATTTATTTTTGTATAATTGAAGATCATTAAATTAGATTACAGTGTATGTGTATACATATAGACATATATACTGTATATATGTACATTGATGAACACTCATCATAAAGCTCATACAGCTCAATAGTCCAACAAGTGCTAACCCTACCAGTGAGCAAGTGATATTATTCCACTGCTAATCTACTGTAATGAAATGAAGCAAGTCTAATTTCTTTGTCTATATATATATATATACATATAATAGATTGCACAGCATGTAGTCATAGTGGTTTCCAAAACGGTGTCACTTACACCATTCATATAATTATTTCTTTGCACTTCCATATCTACAACTATAGAAGAATAAGTAGGGGATAAAAAAAAGTCCTGGACAAATTGCCCATTTCAGTGAAGAACTATCTGATCTTGACACACACAACTATTTGATCTTGACACAAAGGGCTAAGCACTTAATGTTAATATATACGATGATAGTGCAGTGTAAGCCCCATAAAACATTGCAAAAATAACATAGTAAAATAGTTGATAATTAACAGCGATAAGTAATTTAAGTAAACAATAAGGTATTGACTGTATTACATTTCCATATGCAAAACAGTGATACAATTACATAGTTATCTCTCAGTGCTTATTTCCAGGAGCACTTAATAATAAGCGTTTAATATATATCATTAGTGAGGCAACTTGTCAACCAGTGATTAAATAATGATAAATCTCAGCATTAGCCTGCTTCTGGGTGCAGTGGGAGACCTGCAGGGGACAGCCTAAGATTACACTGAGAGGAGATCACTGCACAGTGTCAGGAACTGATACATGAATACATCATGAGACCAGCTCAGAGAGAGTGGAAAGCTATCACGTATATATACATGGTCTATCGCAAAGTATTCTGTGATTACGTGTTTAGAAAAATAATCGAGTGATTCTTGTAAATTACCAAACCAATTATCACATCGTTATTTATCAATACAATGTGATTGGTGTTTAGTCAGAGTATGAACGAGCATATGGACAAGAAGACAGAAAGCAAAGAGGAAACGCTTTAGGAATGATATAATTGGGTATTTTATTTGGGCAATAACGTACTCTGATACTTTGTGGACCAAACTAAACGAAATCGATCTGTGAAAGACTTTAAAATCGTTCATTATTACGCAATTATAGGTTATTTTTTGCGCATCACCGAGTTGATCTGTTTATACAGAAATGGTGTGGGTGTATTTGGTTGAAGTCTTTGCAGCACGCTCTGCACCGCCTCGCTTCAACTCTGCAGTGACGTGAGGAGAAAGACGGAGGGCTGCTCTTATTATATTTCACCGTCAAGAACAAGTTTTACAAACGCCCCCTGCCTCCCGCCCTCACACTGCCTCTCTGTGCCCCATTTGAATGCAGCCCAGGCACAGGACGGAGATTGGCGTCAGCTCCATAGTCCCACCACCATCTTTAAAGACTCCAAGCCGGCTCTATACAGTTGCGCTGCACGCACTCCGTTTGGTGCACTCCGCCAGAGAGAGAGAGCGCCTCCACGACGCATCTTGTGGATTTATTTCGCTCAAAAGTGTACATGGTTTGCCTTGCTTCACATCATCTGCGGGAGTTGATTATACTTCTCCGACCAAAATGTGGCTTCAAACAATAGCGGCAAGCTTTGTTTTGTGGGTTTTTGGAAATACGCAAGCTGGCTTCCCGAATCAAATCAACATAGGTAAGTTGAATTGCCTGCATCTCTTTGTTGCAGCCGCTCTTTTCTCTGTCATGTTCACCCCGTTACAGTCCTGTGGGCGGCGGGGTAAAAATAGAGTTGATCCAAATTGGCTTTATACGCTCTCTGCAATGCATTATTGAGTGAGAAAACGTGACAGTCTCGGACTTGAGTGAAGTTGTCTTCTCATCATGTCCCGGAGCTTGCTGATTGCATGACAGCCGCTCACAGAGGCGCCACCATGCGCATAAGGACCACCGGGATGAGATGTGACCCGCCCGGTGCGAGTCTCGGAGTGAACTAATGACAGCATGTATGTGACATTGTCTTGTCTGCTGCAGGTGGACTGTTTATGCGCTCCACGGTGCAGGAGCACAGCGCTTTCAGGTTCGCTGTCCAGCTGTATAACACCAACCAAAATGTGACTGAGAAACCCTTCCACCTCAATTACAATGTGGACAACCTTGAGTCGTCCAACAGCTTTTCTGTCACACACGCCTGTAAGTACTGGCACTGCTCCATCTCAACACTGCCCATCACTGCTTTACTGGATTTGGACTTTCACATGCATTGCTTATTAAATTTAATAAAAAAAATACTGGAAATAATAAGTAATGTCAAGAAGCGGCTATTGAGACAAAATAATATTTAGTTGACAAATAAAATATTTAACAACTGTATATGGCCAATGCTTGCTGAAGTCTACATGCTTGGTTCGCTGATATTTAGGCCTACACTTAATTACAATTATGAGTAAACCACACAAAGCCCATCGTTCATTTCCAAATAGAAAATCAACAGATCCTAAAAGTTTGCTTAAAAATATTATTAACTTGAAGCTGACTTGTTGAACAAATCAAACCTACGCAAAACCATTATTTTCTCACTAAACCCAGAATTGACAGATTTGAAATTGTTGGAATCCACACACATAATCCAGCACCTCCTAATACACACAGCCGTCTTGTGTTCTAGCAGAGCTTTACCAGCTGGATGATAGAGCACCATGGCCAATAATTGGGCAAAACACACTGAATTTCTAAATGCAGTATTTCAGAAATTCCGAAACAGCTGAAGATAAGATGCACTATTATGACAGTATGTGAAAAGGGAAAAAAGAAATAATATTCTGCACCCCACTGTGAATTGAAACCTGGATTGTTAAACTAGAAAGAGGCACATGATAAATGATTTAAGTCCATCTGCTCTTGTTGTGTCGGAGGAGAGGTCACAAAAAGATCTTTTTTGAGCAATGTACCTTGTAGAAGTCTTTTTTACACAGTTGTGGAAAATATTTACTTTACATCCAAGAAGTGCTGTACATTGCTGATTCAATGAAAAAAGTGTGTCAACAGGAGCATGGTGAAGCAGCTGGGTCCTATTCCTTCCATTTCTGTGTGGAGTCTGCATGTTCTCCCCGTGTCCGCATGGGGAGCAAACCTCTAGAAGCCCTAGTTTCTCCTGGCACAAAAAAACATGTACAATAGTTCAGGGTTAATGAGTGTGTGTTTGAGAGCGCAACTGCTATGGAAGGACATGTTCATTAATGTGCACTGTCCCATTCAAATAAACAAACAAATACTGATAAATGAATGAACTTGCAAACCTCCTCCAAGAGGAAAAATTCTATTGCTTAATTATATTCCTGGATCCCTAAGGTGATCTGGAGACATCTAAAAAGTAGAAAACTGTTCTTTCCTGAAATTTGTGTAAAAATCAGGCCATTACTTTCTATGTTGTAGATAAAGGAACATTTGCATAAACGCACAGGAGAAGGCCCTCCCACAGATAACGTTTTAATTTGTATTTATTTATTAATTAATTTGAACAACATAGTATATAGATAGTGAGGATAACAACAGGCTCAAGGCTTGTTTTCATCCGTAGTCCCTTTCTACACATATCTAGTCTTGGGGAAACAGGCGTACCCAGATGAAACTTAGACCGGTTTGCATGTTTTTATAGAACATGCAAACTCCGCTCAGCTGTGTGCCGCCCGGAAGTTGAACCCAAGATATTGGTTCTTGCCAAGCAATAGGTCAAACATGCCACCATTTTGGCAAAAGGCTCAAGAAAATTGATTATTGCTTATTCAAAAGAAACCTTTGTTCTGTAGTCCTCTCCTTGTAGTTTTACAATCATCGATTTTCAGTAGATTTGACAAATAAAAAGCCAAACCACTGGTGGTTAAAACTGCAGCTATGGGGAGAAATAGTAAAAAACACTCCCTCACTTTCAGTCACACATCAGTGCAGTGTCCAGTCAAGCTTTGTAAAGCTGTAATTATACTTTGGGGTCAGCACTTTGCTCAAGGGCACTCAAGCAATTGCAAGTGATGAAAAGATGCGCATTACGCACTTGGAACGATACGGATGAAAACAAGCTTCAATCTCAGACCCTGTCACTACTGAAGATTACTCTAGTGGCAGAAACATGTACTGAAAGTGCATCAGTAAGCATAGGTAACAGCAGTTCTTTTTCAGCCATCTTGCATGCATTTTTCTAAAGAGCAGCTGACGCAACAAGATAATGTACAAGTGGACAAAGCAAATAAGCTTTGCCCAAGAAAGTAGCCAACTCGACCTGTGTGTCAAATGCAAAAAATCATCAAAAAAGTAAATGTTAGCTCACTGGCTATCAAGGGGAATGAAATTCAGAATTCAAAGCATCACTTGCGGTTTTCTGTATCCTGATCGTTTTGACAGCCTTGTCCCCTATTGTAGTGAGTTGGTCTCAGTTTGGCTGTTTGTATTTCACACAAAATATAACAGGACATGTTAACCACTATTGCAAATATTTGAAAAGGTCAATGTATTCCATTTTGCATTCATACTTGTTGATTGTCATTCTATGATGGTCTGAAAGTGACTTCAAAGTCTATTCATCTTGCTATTAGAGTTCACCTGGGAGTGTGGAGCAAGGTTGAAACGCAAATGTAATTACGCTGTGATGTTGTATCATGCTCCTATTAAACATTCAGACCTAAGGATTCACTTTGAGGTGCTCTGATAAGAACAACACTAAGCTTTATTCTTACTTTAGAAGCTATACAGTATATGTTATCTGAATTCAGAAGTTCCTGGGTTTGAATCCTGGTCGGATTGAGGCCTTTCTGAGAGGTGTTTGCATATCCTCCCTGTGTCATTGTAGGTTTCCTCCGGGTGCTCCGGTTTCCTCCGGGTGCTCCGGTTTCCCCTACCACTAAAACATAATGGATATGGAATGAACATCCTGTGTATTGGCGACCTCGCTCCCCTTTCTGTGTGAAGTTAGAGACAATTGAAACAATTATAAAGCGCCTTGCGACTGTGTACTGGGTGCAGCTCTGACTGACAAATTTAACTTTAATACTGGCAGTCACACAACACAGAAAAGACACGTTTATTTATGTTACAGCTTGTTTTAGAGACTTTTTCAGATGTTCTAGTTGTTGTGAGGTGCTGTGTTTACTAGAGCAGCTACTTTGCTCCGTAAACGTTGTGAACAAATTATATACAAACAAATGTGGAAATGTTTATTCAAAGAAAGGAATAAACACTTCCACAAGTGTCTGTATGCACCTTAATGAGCCTTTAGAGCTTCATGTGTAATCTGCAGGACAGTCCTGGCAACAAAGGTCTGAAATATATTTGTTATTCATTAAACCGTTAGGAGCGCAAAATACAACCTATAAAACTTGAAAACCAAAACCGCACATGTTTTAACTTAGGGCTGTAGATTAGTAATAGTCAAGATCTAGAACAATAAAATATTTTAATAAACTATATTTATTCTGCAGGGGTTTGAATTAAAAACTTGCCACAAAGTTCTCTTTATCCAAGATAATATACAGTAAATAGTATATGATTCAATAAAAATAAACAAAAAAACAATAAATACAGCAGCAGATTCCAGTATTAAACAAAGGGGTCTTTCTTAGCCTCCTACACTTTTAGGGCCAAATAAAAATCATTTGTGAAAGAAGATGATGTGCTAGATGAAGTGTCTAGAACAATCTATGCTAATACCCCAAAAACATGTTGGAAAAAACTTTTTAAAAATAAACCACTTTTTAAAAGTAAAAGCCATAAATTGAATGACTGTTTATTATTTTAATATATAGAGCAGTCTTTGTAAGAACTGAACCCATATAAGGGATTCCCATTAGAACCAGTTAGAAAACCGTGCTCTACACTATACTCTTTAAAAGAAAAGAAAACAAACAAAAAAACAACAGCAATCAATACTTTTCAAGTGACCTAATTTTTTGAATGACAGTGTATATTGATATTCATATTTGGTGACATTGTGTACTTTTTGAATATTATGCCGTTCTCTAGTTAGGTCACTATATAATGATTGTAACAAATCCTTGATGGCAAATGACTGTGTTATTGGGAACATGGATCAATACAATGGAAGGCTCTAGTTCGCTTTGTGAGCGTGCAAACACACACCAACAGAGTATGGGTGAGAGTGCTTAGTTTACTCAATATGGAAAAATCAATATTCACCAAGCTTTTGTCTCATTTTCTCCATCTCATTCCCTCAATTTAAAAATATGTGACCACACTAAGGCCCAGGCTTTTTTGATATTGTAAAAACCAATGTTGAGGTCGGCATTGCAAAAATTTCTCTGAATTGCTTTCGACAAAACTGGAACTTGTTCGATTTGTACATGTGGGATGTATTGATGTGACACAATGCCCCAGGACATGGCTGATGTTGTGCATAAACGTAGAAACAGAAAGGCAGAAGCCATTAAGGGAAGAGGTCAGAAGCAGAGGAAGCTTGATCCCCAGCCTGGGTTCAAATAGAGAAGATCTAGTTTCTCACTTTGAGATCAGCAAAAAAAAAATGGGGTTAAATAATTGTTACTCTGCAATGCACTTAATGCATTTTCTGTTATAACTGCCTTAAAGACAGTTTGTTTTGTATTTAGCTGAGCATTTGTTAATGATACATCCAAAGTACATAGGAAGTATGCTTGTGCTAATGGCCTTTGACATTAGATCAGCACTACATGTCCTTAAACATTGGAAGGAGACACAGGTTTGATAGTGATTCTGGACATTGTTCTTTTTTTTTTCATAAAGTCTCCCATCTGACCATTGTGCACATGCAAGTATGTGCACAATGATTGAAAGTGATGTAGACCAATTATTGGCCTACTCATTACATTTTTAATTGGTACTAACAAACCTTTGGTACAGACTTTAAGTCATGTTGCTAAATTCACAAACCTTGAACAAGATTGACCAAATGTTATCAAGTGTTTTATTCTCACTTACTATCCTCCTCTGCCATGACTCACCCTTGTGTGTGTGCAGACACAAACTAATGCTAGAGGGTTGGTATGTGTAGGCACTGGACGGCCTCACTAATGCACCAGCACCAAACATTTGATGAGGCCAGATATTCTCCCCCTCCACCTCCTCCATTCTTCTCTTTCATAATATACTGCAGTTAGTCACTGGATATGTGTTAATATGCAATCCTGAGTACGCATGGGTCTGTCCAT